AGAATGGCACACAACACTCCTGGGTGTCAGAAAAACAACCGCTCTCCAGTATTCCTCTTCCTCCTTCATCATTCTTCTCAGGGGTTTCCTTGTCTCCCTTCCAATGGGTAGCTACCATTGTTAAAGCTAAAAAAAATGCCCATGTGGGCTTGTCTTCTTTGTGCATGTGTGCGTGTGTGTGTGTGCACTCGTGCATACATGCATACACATGGAAGACAAACTTGGCTACCATTCCTCAGGACAGTTTCTTGACTCTGGACTTGGAGTCAGCATTCTTCTAGTCTCCATTCATAGAAAGGATAGGTTCTTGCTATACCCAGACTTGTGTACAAAGTCCAATCCCAGTGTCTCTCCATGCATAGGGATGGATGCTCATGCTCCTCTTGACCATAGTCAACCAACCTAACACCCTCAGCTTGGACTCTGATCTAGCTACCCAGAGAAGCACCTTCAATGAGTTGTATGCTTAAGTTGTAGACTAATGGACCTTCTTCTGTCCTCCAAAACTGGTAGGGCCTTGTGGCTCTGCACACCATCACAATGCTTCCTTTCAGGCCTTGTGCACAGATACCCCTGTTGGATTAACTTGTATAATGGTATCCTAAAGGTCACACAGATACAGGACAGAGCAGGGCTCTCCCTAGGCTGGATTCCTGCTGTCAGTAGAATGAAGGAGATGAGAGGCTCTGTACAGCGGTGGCCCTTTTTATTTACTGTTCTTTGAAAATGAAAAAGAGCATGCCTCCTCCAGGCAGGGTCTAGGCCAGTGCAGCTCCCACATGGCTATCAAGTCTCACATTCTGCCACCTCAGCTTCATGCGCTAAGACAGAACAAGCAGTAGGAAGACTTGTTTAACATTTGCTCCCAGGCTTTTTCCTTCTCTCTTTTAATTTCCTCTGAAGAGAATATGAACCACTCCAGTCTTTACACTCTGCAGGAGCTAATCCCCCACCGGAAGCTCGGGGCAACCTCGCTCCTTCTTGCGGATGTGATCTGTCGACACAAGTGTTCCTTCAGGCTCTCTGAAAGGCCCACAGTGGATGAAGGGGCTCTCCCTATTGGAGCTCTCTTACATTTTTAAGTATAGTTTTTTAAAAAAGGAAAATAACACAGGAATTGCTTCCAGAGCCCAGATGCCTGGGTGGAACACTGTCTCCTCTTTAAGTGCAAGCGGCTTTTGCTGACATGTCCAGGCAGTGTGTGTGTATGCCCGTTGGCCCCACTGTTACATGCTGCTGACAGAGGGGGGCCACTTACTGAGCCCCAGGTCCCACAGCCCATGATCAATGGGAAGTGTGCATGCTGCATGTTGAAAGAACCATGGGGAGGAAGATGATACTTTTATAACTGAAAGTGCTTAATAAGTACTGTTCACTAACTAAAATCACATTTTCCTTGGATATCTTAGTTTAGTATCAGTTTCATTAATGAAGGGAAATCTGTCTGAAATAATTTTTAGTCTCTTCTTATAATTGTGATAGCAGGTCTCATCTTTATCCAGTGTACCTTTACTTTAACGTACTTTAAGGTGTGTGGTGTGTATGTTTGTATGTATGTCCGCACATGTGAACACATGCTGGTGTGTGTGTGTGTGTGTGTGTGTGTGTGAGAGAGAGAGAGAGAGAGAGAGAGAGAGAGAGAGAGAGAGCCAGTTTCTCCCCTCTCAGTATGTAGGCTCTATGACTGAATGAAGAGATCCATCAGGCTTGGTGGGTGCTGTTACCTGCTGAAGCTTCTCTGCAGCCCACACCATAGCCATAGCCATGTGCTTTGCCCTCAGCACTGGGGAGTCTTTGCTCTTAAGGAGTTTCTTTTGAAAACCTAATTTATTCTGTGACCAGCAAAGTGAGGTAAAATTCATCTTAGAATTGCTGATCGGTTGAGAAGATTTAAACTACTCAGGGTGAGGAAGGCTATATGTTAAATTCCCTGCCATGCCCCTTCACACATCTGCATGTCTAAGTCACATGGATATTTTCTTAGCACAGAATAAGGAATCCTCATCACAAAGCACTCACTCAACAGCCAGCTGCTCTGTGATCAAATGGAATGGGACTCGATCTCAGAATTGCAAGTGAAGTCATATTTCTCCCCTCACTGTCTGACAAAGCTTTCTGCTAGTTTCTTGGGTGGCCTATCACATGACAGATATATGACTTTGAGACAGGAAATGAAATAAAGTTCCCATAACACCCTCAGGGGAAAGAGGCACTGTCACCATTAAGCCTTTTAGCCAATTACTTAATTCCCTTTAAACTTCCCTCAGTCCTTACTGAGAACTCCACACTGAACTTAGCTTTCCTACCGAAGCCACAAACTGCATGCTGCTGTGACTTCAGGACCGAAATGGTATAACGTGCCCTGGCAGAGTTCACTTAATACTGCAGTCAGAATCCCCAAGAACGCTTCATACAGACAGGTAGGGAGTCCCAGAGAAAGGGCAGAAAACAAATGGTGAGCCCCAAATGTGCATTGTTGGTGGCATTAGGGCTCTGAATCTGAATACCACTTGGTATACTCAGATTACCTGCCCATTGGTTGTGAATGGCAGGTGGACAGCACAATGCCCTAACTCCAGCCCCAATCTCCCATGCAGGTAACAGCCTTGTGAGGTGAAAGCAATGCATGAACAACTGACTTCTACTCCACAGATCCAAGTAGGCATGGCTGTTCCCGTGTGGTCATTCCCCGCTCTCCATTTCTACCTCGAAACTCAGGAAATAGTCGCTCCTTAGACTAGAAGACTCAGGCATTCTTGGCAACTTTTCCTGGGTACCTAAAATGTCAGAAAATGCTGGCCTGCCTTGCTTTCAAAATACACCTGGTGTCCAGTTACTTCTTGCCACCTCCATCCCTTCCATGTTGGTATACACCACCATCTCTTCCCTACTTTCCACAAGAGGACCAGAGTTCTACATCACTGTTCATGGTATAATCTGCACTCAAAAGATAGGAGTCATCAATCCTATTACAACTTCAGTCAGACCATCTCACTACTGCTCAAAACTCCACCCCCCCATCACCTGGCTCACAGAGCAAAAGGGGACCTCCACCCAACCATACCTGACTCACCTTCTGCCTTTCACTCACCCCACCACACTCTGGACCAACTTGTAGGATACTCTTCCACATACGTGCAAAGGGCATTTCAACCAAGAGGCTCTTAGAGGTTAGTTCAACGGCCTGAGATGCCCGTCTCCAGGGTAACATGTGAGTCATTCCCTCACCTCCTCAAGTTTTCAGTCAAAGGCTAGCTTGCCAGTGGGGACTACTTCAAGTCATTCCCTAAATCTGCAGTCCCAAACTCCTAGTGCACTTGTCCCTTTTCTGCTTTAGTAGCTCCACAACACACCACTGCCTGGGCAAATATGTAAACATCTAATTACATATTTATAGCACCCTGCCCCTAGACATAAGATACCTGAAGGTAGGATTCCCTGACTGTTTTCTTCCTTCTGCATTTATGGCACCTAGTGAAGACCAGCCCATAGTAGATGATCAATAAATAGGGATTAGTGACTCTTTGAACTATAAGCTGTACATTAGAACTCTAGGCCTTCATGTGCTTACATCTACACTTTCCTCAACATGTAATTTAGTGTCTTCAGAGTCTGTAGGAGGTTGTATTTCAAGGAGGAAATAAAGAACATCATGGGATTTCCCAAACCCTTTTGGCTCAAATTCCACATGCAAGGAGCTGAATTTGTGTGCGGGTTCTAGCACACAGAAAGCCCATGGTACTGCCCAGATGTGCTTGTTATGAGGGAGGCAGACACAGTGTCATCCTGGGAAAGACAGAACATGGTGGCCTCCATGCTTATGTATGCTCTAATGCCAACCACACAACCATGTCCAAAATGGAGATTGCCTCCATTGAAAACAGAGAAACCCTCCCCCAACAAGGATATCCACAGCAGAAAGAACTATTTCCAGGGGAAACTCCACGAGTCAGGAGAATGCCAACATATATGTCATCATTTGAACTTGGCTTAAACTAGGGTAAAATAGGAAAGTTGATAGCTGTGCTCTTTATCAATTGTCTTTTTCTCAAAGGAATTAAAGACAAGGACAAGATCAGCACTGTGATGGGTAGTGCTGAGGGCATTTGTGGAATGAGTGTGTGATACAGACAGACAGACAGACAGATAGATAGGAAAAGGAAGGAGAAGACTACTTCTTCCAAGATGAAGCTCTCTGCCCATCTGTTGTCTCTGTTTCTTTTTGCAGCATATCAAATTATCATTTCACAGATGAGTCGGTTTAACAACAGAAAAATACAGCATCACTGAAGATACTAGCATTCTTCCCAATTCACACTGGGATTGCCTAAATCTGTTCCAAATACGGATATCACCTAAACTGTTTCCCAAGCATCAATACTTGAACGTGCAATAAGTTCAAGTAGAAGTTGCTGCAAGTTCACATCAGCCTAAATATTCTATTACTGTTACAAAGGTAGTGGTTGGCAGAATAACAATGCTTGAAGAAAATGTGGTTCTTGACATGGTTTGAAACAAGAAAATTTAGGAAGACTCAAATTTACAGTCTTATACCTGTAGCTTTTATTTTCATTACTCTAATGACTATCCTAATTCACACCCAAATGGCTGCAGAGGTGATAGTCTTCATTGAGCAATGTTTCTTTGTTATTTTTGTTTAGAGTGTGGCTCCAGCAAGACTTCCTCCCTTCAGAGCAGAAATTCTGGCATTTTCCCTCCTACAGTGTCAAGCAGAGAAGCAGATACACAGTGGGTGCTCAGTAGAGACCAACTGACTTTTTTTTTTTTTTTTTGTCAGCAATTCTTGAAAACTCTGGCAAAGGCTTTGAAAGTGTGAACAGGCAAAGAGTCAGAAGGGAACAGTGGTGGGATGACCCATGCATTTTGCATCATGTGTCACAGTGAATCACATTTCACGAGTTTCAGAAAACATTCTTAAAAAGTCATCTTTGAAACAGGTACATTTTTAGCGTGAATTCAGAACTAAAGTAGATTCTTACAGTTTTCATCCTGGGCAATGCATTGTAAAGGGATCCCAAAGAAAGACGTATAGCTGTCATTGTACCACACCAGAAGCTCGGTGCCCCTGGGAATATCTATACAGGCCCGGTAGAATATATTCGACCTATTTAAAACAAAAGAAAACCCAACTTAGTAAGACGTAATGCTCATATGTCCCACTACATTTTTATTGACCCCAAAACATTCTGCCCAGATCCACCTAAACAGTTTATAATAAATCTACACCCACCTTATTATCCCAGGCATCCGAGGAGAGTCTGTAACTCAGTATGATAAACAATGTATAGTTTATTTCCACAGTGCGCCTCCATACAGGGTCTTGAAGAGATAGATATGTGGCCCAGGAGACAGCAGGAATTTTTTATTAAAAATTATTATTAAAATTTTTATTTTAAAAAATTATTAAAAAAATAAAAATTCCATCTCACACTAATCAGAAAATTCTTCCTGGTGGCAAACTACAGAGGCATGAGTGCTGCACCAACCCCATAGGTAGATTAATACTATCTACTTATTAGAAGAAAGAGCAGTAGGTGTATTCTGGAAACTTGGCATTGGGAGTTCCCAGATTCATAATAAAATAAAGTGACTTAGTGATATTAAGGACCAAGAAAGCTAAAACCCCTTCTAGCCACCCCCTTTTTCCTCCCTAAAGTTTGATGTAGGAGAAGAGAAAAGCGCTCTTGTGTAAAACGGATGGAAATTCAATAAATACAAGAGGAGCACTTTACTTGGGCTGAAGGATTACACCATGGATGATGGAGTGAGGGTACCAAGAAATAAGCATCCTTTACAGCAGCAGCTTCAGCGCTGTTAAAAAAAATCTGCAGATTTTTAGAAGAATGAGGGTGTCGAGACTGGTTTCCTCACTGAAGGATTGTTACAAATGTTAGCCTCAAGTTCCAGATAAAAGTGCTTAGGGTTGGTGGGCCTTAAATTTTGCCTTTCTGTAAGGAATTGGCTGCAGCAGCGTAATTTGTTCCTTGTAGAACACTGCAGACGAGGGGAACCTTTCTCCACATTTTTCATGGCGATGAGATATGCACTTGTCAACATATTTTGTCACCACAAAGTGGCTCTTGGCAATAGAATCATAAAGATCAATAAAAAAGTGCAGATTCTCAATATTTTACTCACAGCTGCAAAAATTTCATTTATCTTGTTATTTTCCTTCCTTACTGCCATTCTGTCTCACGAGGGCACTGCTAGCTAAGCAAAACGTTTTCCCCCCACATTCTATGAATATCTGACAAAAACTCCAGCCACTTGTCCAGCCCTTGCTGCCCTTCCTGACTTGGCACCTCTAGGAGCTATGCATTTTATTAATTTTTTCCACTGCTGCATTAAAAAAAATCAAAATTGGAACTGAGTTATAAATCACTGACATCTCCTAACTTGAGAAAAATTGAGTCTACTTTGTACTTCACCCTTGTAACATTTCATCTCTGGGTTTGCCTTTCCTTAGTATAAACACAGCGCCCGGCAAATGAATGTGCTAAAACCAAATGACACACTTTGCCGCTGAAAGACCAGAACTGTTTTTGAGCAATGGGTGGTCTTCTGAGGCACAGAGTAGGCCGAAAGGGGGTGGGAGGGAGGTGTAAGTGTACACCATTCCTTACAAGCACCCAGAGCTTCCAAAGCTTGCACAAATCCCTGCATGGTGAAGCACATCAAAGGGATTTTTCCCTTTTCAGATAATATTTCCTTTGCTGACATGTATTTAGTATTGTGGTTGGATGACTCATAAAGATAGCTTCATGGCGTCCCAACGCAGTTGAAGCAGAACACATGCCAACAAACATTATTGTCAGCCTCAAAATAAAAACAAAACGTTCAGCTAAGGGTCAATCAATCAAGGGCGCTTTGAAGAAAATTCCATTTAGATATTACAAATCATAACAGAATGAATTTAAACCAGCTGACATTTTGTGAAGAGGACATTCATGTACAATAAAAATTAGGCTGGCTCTTCGGGGTCCAACTTTTCTATTTTCTTACTTTTGGACGTGGTCACTAGTGATGGATGCCAGTTTTTAAAATTGTGTTTTTGTAGCTCATTGTATAAAGATCTGCCGTAATCCAAAACAGATCGGCTGAGAGAGAGCTCATAGCTTCAGTGCCCTCATGAAAGGAGAGTTGTAAAATCCACTTAATATTGACAGATAGGTAATGGCTTACTCATGCGCCTTTCCCCTCAAGGGGTTTCTTGTCCCAAATTTAGAACTTGCCTCAAGAGCTCCCTTGGTAATTCTTACAGAAGTGGCCAATCTCTTGCTGACTGGACAAGCACAGCCTTTGCTAATTGTGGAGCTTGGGGTTGTGTAGGAAATTCATGATAGTAAATGTCCGCAAGGCCAGGTTTGCCCAGGTCTTACCAAAAAGCCTCTTATATTATTTCATGTAAACCATTACTTAATCAAACTGTGTGGGGGAACCCAGGCAAAGAGTCAGACACTGCCCAAGTATGTTCTTTTTAGAACTGGAGACCTTCGGAGAACAAGCATGCCAGATCTGTGTACCCTCTGAGGTATAAAGAAAAAAATGTAAAAAGACTTCACTTAAAAAAAAAAAAAAAAGGAAAATAAATAGCCCCAGGCAGAACTCCAAGTTGCGGAGCACAAGGCTCTGGGCTTTGATGTGTCTGTGGTGCCCAATAAAGCTAAACAGTTGCTTCTGACTCTGAAGGGAACACGGCTGTTTATAACTGAGCTCATATATTTATAAGGCACATGTTTTCTAGGGATTCTGAGAGAAGAAGGCTTAGTGGTGGAGCTGCTCGATTTGTTTCTGCCTCCTTGTCTTGATTCCAGCTTTCCTAAGGAGCACGGGGTGAGGGCAGCAGGTGCATTGAGACGGTGGCTTAGTGCTCCATCCCTGTGAGACTCTGGGAAGTAAGGACACATCTCCTTGGGTCTGTCACTCTTTGGGCTCTGTCCATTGTGGGGGTGAGGGGCTTCTTTTCTCTAACTTGAAACAACTGCATCACCTGGAACACAGCTGAAATCATCAAAGGGCCAGACCCAGATGCTCGGGAACCTTTTAAGAGAGTAGGAGAGGTTGCCGCCACTCAGTCCCGATGCTGAGCATGGCCGGTTTTGGGAGACTGAGTTCTTGGTTTTCCAGACCTATATGCAAATGAACCTTATTCTCTCTCTGAGAAACAGACTGAGAGAGACTGAAAGGAACGGATCTGGAACTGAGTCCCCAAGCTTCCATTTATGTGTGCGTTCCCATCTGGTGGCCGATTAACCCCAAGCCAGTGGGGCTGCCAATCTCATTTGGGTTCTTAAGGACATTCAAGTGATGGTGTGGAGTAACTTCAAACTGTGTACAGAGTCAGAGGGGGCATCTGCTAGCCCCTTTCTTTCTGAATGTCCAGGAAATACTGGCCCCTGGAACTAAGGTATCTCAGAAACCCAGCAAGCAAGCAAGCAAACAAACAAAAAACACATCTACCCAGAGTGTTTTTAATCACTTTGCAGCAAGCCTGAGTTTGCATGTGCAAGCCAAAGGGCTTCAGCAGTAAATCAAGACATACTTTACCTGTACTGAACTACTGTTAGATTCTGTTCTCCACAGTGCCTTGCACATCGGATATACCTCATCCAGCTCGACTTACTAGGCTCCCCACCATCAATAAAGTGCTGTAGTGTCCCATCTTGATCATAGATCTAGAGAAGAGGTCAGAAGGTCAAGTAGTTAGAACGAATCATGAGCAATCATTTTCCCTGTTTCCCTTGGTGTCTTTCCATGTCAGCTGCAGAGATTTACGGCCCTGGGGTTTGCTAGTAGTGCCTATTGATGGCCATGGAAACTCAGTCAGGGTAACAGGAAAATATGCTTTGGCGAGGAGTCGATCACGTTTCTCTTATCAAGCCAATCTTCTCTGTATTAAACAGAGTTGTGGTATCTCAAGGATGTGACCATATTTCCCAAAGAATATTTAACCGATTTTGACAGGCTAGTCTTAAATAATGAGCTGCTGGATAAACAAAGCAAGCTGAAAAGAGAGGCCATGCTGACATGATTGGAACAAGCACATAAAGGCCCTAGGTCTCCATCATGCAAGTATTCCAAAGCATCCGAGGAAGGCAGTCACTGTCCATCCACTGAGAGGGGCGACCACAAGCAAAAGGCAGCTGGGAAGTTGTAGAACTGTAGAGAACTGGTACAAACAGACTCTGGGATGAGATAAAGGACTGTCCCCTTACAGGAAATGTAGGTCTTTGAAACCCTCTAAGGACGGGTCATCCTGAAACATCCCCAGAAAGGGGAAGAGGAAAACAGCTGTCTCATATGAAGTTTACATGTTTCAGCCAAGGTCATTTTCATCATCATTGCCTTGGGTCAACCCTAGCAGATTCCTCAAGATAAGAAAAAGAAAATGAAACCCACTTCAAACCAGTCAATAAGCACAGGACACCCCCCCCCCAAAAAAAAAGTCCTTATTCGAGCAACTTGATTAGACACACGTTGAGTGCTGAAAGTAGGGTCACTGGAGCTCCCCCAGAAACCACTTTGGTTCCAGGAACTTTGTGAAGCATGATTTCCAGGAGCAGGAGATGAGGCAGTCACATATCCGATAAATAGGGATCCTCTAAGGTTTCCTGAGACTGAGGCCTCCAGAAGCACAAGGTAGTTCAATAGTTTCTTAGGGGTCTAGGGAGGTAATGTGCTTCCTGCAAAAATGTGAGGACCTGAGTTAAATTCCAGCACCCACACAAAAAGCTGGATGTGGTCTTGAAAGCTTATAATCCTACACCACTGTGGACAGAGACAGGCATATCCCCGGGGCCTGATGGCCTATCAGCCTGCCATATGATGAGTTCCAGGTCCCAGTAAGAGACCCAGTGTCACCAAACAAGGTAGATGGCTCTGAGGTTAACCTCTGGCTTCCACCTGCATATATACTCACAGACAAGTGAACACACACACACACTTGCACGTATGCATACATATACATTCACATACATACAAATAGTTTCTTAGGACTACAGGCCTTAGAAGGACCCTGGGAAAGTTAAGTATATTTTGAATAGAGTCAGTACAGTCTCCTGGGAGCGACAGAGAGGTTTCCCAGAGCATCCTGAGAAACCACACCTCTTTTTCTGAGCCCTCCCACTTTTCTTCTCCAAGTAAACACTCAGAATAAATCTTCCAGAGGAAACTTCATTGTGTGGCCATTCATGCTAATTCAGATGAGTATTTCTATTCTGGAGGACCCTGAGTTACATGTGAGAGTTTCTCGTTTACATCTACCCATTATTTTTAAAGCAAATGAATACTCTCCCTGCCCTTCCTAATATTCTGTCTCCTCCCCCAACCTCTCCACTGCCCCCCCATAAAACACAGACATTAATCCAATAAACCGCAATGATCTGAGAATTTAGGACTTGATCGCTATACCAGGACGATCACAGCTGATAATCAACTCAAGCTGAAAGGAAGGAAAATACTTCTTCCAATGCCTTGCTTTGGGAAAACAACAGAAAATGGAAACATGTTACATAGTAGGTGCATCTGCTGAGCAGCAAGCTAAAGGCAGATATCATGTTTAGATTACATTACACTAATCATTTTTTGTTGTTGTATCATGTTTTTGTTATTTTTTCCTTAAAAAAAAGTCAATCAAGCAACATTCCAAAAAAAAAAAAAAAACTCACCCCTAACACTGCTGTCACCAGTGTCACCAGCCAGAGAGATTGAACAATTCTATCCTGCACCTCAACACCACTATTGATAATTAGTGGAATAAAAATTTTGGTGAAATTTTTTTCCTACAAAGACATCTTGCATAAAAGCTACTGGCAATAATCTCTACAAAACACCCTAAGAAGTATGCACAGCAGTTCTATTCACTGCTCCCAGCCAGGATCCTCAGCAGCAAGGGACACTAACCCTGTAGGTAGAGCAGCATGTGGCACTAAGTCAGGTCTTCCAGTCTTTGGCCAATCCTGATTGCAATATTTCACATAAAAGTGTGGTGATGCTGTATACTTTCTTCAGTCTCCTAACTGCATGCTTAGGATTGAAAATACACATCTGACCTTGAGTCTGCTCACAGGCTTCGAAGCACAGCTACCACCAGACCCACACACACATCTCCTTCCTAATGGCTCTCAGGTACATTCAACTCTCCCTCTCCACTGTTAGCACCCTAGCCAACTTCCTTTCCCACTGGAAATGGGGCAAGAGCCCCTTGACCCATCTTCCTTACAGGATCTCCAAAGCATTATCTAAACTGTTGCTAGTGTAATCCTTACAATACAGGTCTAACTATACCTTCACGCACAACACCTTGGGGGCAGAGGGAAACCTTCACCAATGGCATACATCTCTGGTTGTACAACACATGTGGGGTTCCTCAAAGGGTCTTACTACACTGATATGACCAGCATCTGTGGCTTTTGCATTTGTCTCAAGACAGCCCGGAGCTCTCTGTGATCTGCTCTGTTAAGAGCCAACATTTAAATGCAGCCTTTCTTGCAAGAGCCAAAATGAGCCAGAAATTTTTGATGCCTATGTTCTTTCTTTGGCACAAAGAACATAAAATGGCAAGAGGGATGTGCAAATGTTGAGTGTCAAACAGAAACTAATGACTTCTCCAAGAGATGTAGCAACAAATATGCACTTTGTTATTCACTATGGGAAGTTAGCTTTGTTAACAGTTAAGAGCTTGGTTAAGAAACAACATTTGTATGTAGCTTTTCTCCCAGACTGGAGCCATCCTCTTCTAGGCAGAAAGAAGCTAAAGGGAACTCCAAATGACATGCATCAACTTCGACAGCCCAGAGAAGCAGCTACAGCTACAAGTACAGGAAGTTGTTCTCAGAGGTTGAACTGACACCCATGTTTGTGGGACATTAACATGAAATTGTAAGTTGGATACCTGATAGGAACATCTCAAACACAAGGAATCTGGGCGATGAACTATGCCAAGACCTAGAATTACTGGTTCTTATTATCTATCTTTCAAAAGATTTTTAAATAAGCAGGGGAAATTTTTTAAATGCTCAAAGTGTTTAGATAACTCCCCTAGGACTTGTGAAAATGTTGGAAAGGTCAGAAGTTGTTTATTCATTCAATTGGATGAATAACACTCAAGTGTAAAAGCTTGAGTGTTAACTTTAGATTAGGAAAAAGATTCATCCCGCAAAAACACCTACCGCAGCACAATTTTGCCAGAAATGGTGCCCTTTATGCTGAATGAAAATGAAAGGCATTTTAATATTTTCTCTAGTCTTTTCTAAAGTGAAGCAAACAACTCTCAAGGTAGGAGAACTGCATGAGAAGAATCACAGGACACCTGGCTAGAGATGGGTGGGGGTGAATTCTGTAATGGAGACTCTGAGCTGCAGAATGGGTCATTTAGTATCTGTTAGGTAAAAGCCAGTTCCCCTATTGCCAAAGTGAAGTGGACTACAACACTGCCACATTGGAGGACATTTTGACAATATCTCAATAAATTGGAAAATGGTTATTTCACGTGGTTTAGCAATTTCTTATCTAGGGAATTACCCCAGTGAAATTCTACTGAATTTGGGAGATGGTTTCAAAGGCATTCACTGATGAACTGTTTGGAACAGCAAAGAATTAGAGGGGGCTGGAGAGATGACTCTGTGAGTAAGAGCACTGACTGTTCTTCTAGAGGACCTAGGTTCAATTCCCAGCATCCACATGGCAGCTCACAACTGTTTGTAATTCCAGTTCCAGGGGATCCGAAACCTATGGCAAAACACCAATGTACATAAAATAAAAATAAGTACATTTTAAAAAGAATTATAAATAATGGAAATATCTTATCATTGAAAGAATAAGTTGTCTTATCCACTCAAAAAGCATTTGTTTAATACATTTAAAATTAATGAATTATATCTGTTTGTATTAGGAGACATAATGTTGACTGAGAAAAAGCCAGTTGCAAGCCATTATGCTAGCAGTTGTTACAACATACAAAGTAACTCTGTAAGTAGTGTATGTTATGTGTATTACTGTAATGTATAGGAAGCATATGTAAATAGACACAGCCAGCTCTGAAGCGCTGTGTGAGAAGTATCCCTGGCACACTCCTCAGAGAGGGGCCTTCAGAAGCTAAAACACTGGAGGGAAACAATAGCATTACACTTTAAAGATTTATTTCTGACACAAATACGGCCAGGTGTTGAGTCCTGGTCAGTGTTTTGCTATACAAGTGGATATATGCACGGTGACTCTTTTTCCTTTCCCCCTTTTCCGTGTTCACCCTAGAGATTAAAGCCAAGGACTCCTCCCATGTGCTGAGACTGACTCTCCCACTCAGCTCCAACCCAAGATTCTACTTTGCTTTCTGATCAAAGAAAGAAAAGTATAAATAGGACATAGAAGCCTGTTCCTTTGTGCTTTCAACTTGTGTGTGTGTGTGTGTGTGTGTGTGTGTGTGGTGATGGTGGTGGTGTTAAGACAAAGGGGCCACCTGTTGCTGAAGGTTAGAAGTTCATCAGTGCACCCTCCTGGGAAGATGCCTGTAATACGGATCTCTAAATTATCAGCTCTGATTTCCTTTGTGATTGCTGCTGCTACTTTAAAATTATTGCTTCTGGTTCACGCATCTCTCCTATCGTCTATGAACAGGAGTAGCAAGATAAGTAACGGGAGAGCTAATTCTTACTCTTAATGGGGATTTTAAGCTTTC